ACTTGGGAGGTTTGCTAAGCACTCAAGAAGCTAGTCACACTCGGCTATCGCCTCGTGCGACTCTTACACTTCTTCTGTGCTTAGCAACCTCCCGCGTGCATCCAGAACTCAATGGGTAACCCAAAAACACTGACCCCAGGTCCGCGGACCCCCACTGCGGACCAGGTCCGCGGACTACTTATGGACCGGTCCATGGACTCTCCCAACAGACCCCCTCTATGGACCACCCCCCAAAATATAATAAAATTAATAAATAAAATATTTCATTTACGGCTTTTAGGCATTTTTTTGGGGGTAGGGGTGGGGGGGTTGGGGTGTTAGAAACCCGAGTCTGTTACATTTGCAGTGTAAAAATCACCGACACAAGTCTGAATCTATGAGACAACCCATAAGTGAAATCTTTATTTATTATTTTTACACTATTTTAGGGTGGTCCGTAGAGGGGGTCCATAGGGGTAGTCCATGGACCGGGGATCAGCGTTTTTGGGTTACCCTCTTAAGACTGTCTGGTGCTGTCAACTGACAAGTTTACTGACTATTATTGTCCACTGACAGGCTGCCAACAGTCAGCCAAGTGTATGCAGTGTAAAAGAAAGGAGCAACAAAAAAAAACATAACAACCAAAAGATTTCCTGTTTAATTTCTTCTCTGCTCCTTTTTCTTGCTCCCCATTTGCCCTCACACTCTTATTGTGCCTATGTGCTTATGTCTTCTTTCTGCCCTGCCAAACCTGCATTGTTCAAAAATACTAACCTACACGAATAATTTTTTTTTGTTTGACCTCTCCCCCTTCCCCTCCATAGACGGTTTTAGGTTTGGCTTCATGCCTTCCTTTAAAATTTCGGCTCTTGAGAACTCCCACCCTCCTTGAAATTTCTAAATTATGGCCTTTTAAGTTGCAGTTGTGGATGTTTTCTGAAATTGCGCAGACTAATTGTTTTCTTTTGTTTACTTCTAATTCAAAGAAAGAGGATTATTCATAAAGAATATCCAAATTTGTGACAAGCGTAGTAAAATAGTCTCAAGAATTTTAAAAAATTATGTATATATTGAAGGCAGTTTCTTGGGTTTAATAAAACTATGTTAGCACATTAACTAAAAACTAAAGTATCCCATACCAGTTTAAGGTCGTTTAAGCAAAATATTATTTTGTTTCAGAAAAGAAAAATAACCTTGACATCAATACAATCAAACCTCCCATAAGAGACCACCTGAAATGCCATGAAATGTCAAGCCTTGGTGGTCACTTACTGGAGGTGGTTGCTTACCAGAATTCAGACCATACTGGATCAAAATTTTGCGTCATTAGCATATCACAACTACAGAGACATAACCCATGTGCCAATGCCGATGCAAAGTTTCATTCATGCGAAAGGTCAATTTTGAGAGAAAAATCTGGTTCTTCCCATGGAGAAATTTCCATCTCTTGTACTTCTCAGGAAGACAATAATGTTACAACACCTTATTATCCAATCTCCTCTCTATTAACTGTCAAGTGGTCGCTTATGGGAGGTTAAAAACAAAAGAAACTTTCAAGTTTTTAGCTCTAAAAGTGGCCGTGGTCGCTTACGAGAGGTGGTCGCTTACAAGAGGTTCAAAATATAGTGATTTGACAGGGAAACGTTTGGTATTTTGGAAAACTGATCACTGAGGAGAGGTGGTCACTGAGAAGAGGTGGTTGCAACCAGTGGTCACAACCGAAGGTTCGACTGTATTCATAAGCAGTAACTCAAAAATTACATACCTATGATGTTGCTTCTGCTTTGAGAAAATGCAAAGATTCAGTTTTATTTTCTTAAAAGAATTAAAACACAACAATGGTTTATACAATTATGGCTAAAAATTTAAAAAGTTCTCATAGAAATATATTAGTTATACATTAAATCAGGCCTTAACAATAAGGCAAAAAAAATCCAAATAAAGTGTACACTTCATTGACTTACTTACAAGGAAAGTTATTTTCAAGGGTTATGAACGAAAAAATTAAAAAAAAAACATTGTTTTTCAGTGTACACAATGTAGATACCCCTAAAACTGAAAACTGAAAATATTCTGGAGCAAATATGTTAAGTCGTCCCTCCTGAATAATGTGTCATGCCCATTCCTATTTACATGTACATTCATTTAAAAAGTGGAGACATTGGAGCTCTCAGTAGATATACAGTTAATACATGAACCTCTGTCAGGGATTTGAAGAATTCATGTCCTTGTATTCTGTGTATTTCTTGCTTGATCCCTTGACCAGGTGTGCAGGATATTTCTTAGAATTTACCGCTATTTTTGCTACCACTTCTTGAGGAAGATCAACATGGCATTTTTCTGCTAGTCTGACGAGGTAGACTAGTACATCACTAAGTTCTTGTGCAAGATGATGCTTCTCTTTGGGAGTCCAATCTGACAGACACAAAATTATTCACAAAATAAATTTTAGCTGAAGTGCTTATGTTTTCTTTTTCAATTTAAACTATTGGCATTGCATTGTAGGATAAAAGTACTACGATTATCAGTTGAGTAAGGCGGACGAAAGTTTGGTCACCAAGTTTTAACGTAAAAATCGTGTTGTTGTCACGAGCAACTGGCTCCGTATCCATTGGCAACTTGTCGGCCTTTGACGTCAATTGACAGCAAAGCGCGCGAAATTGTAGGCGACGCGACAGGCGACCAANACAGCAAAGCGCGCGAAATTGTAGGCGACGCGACAGGCGACCAACGGCTGTTGATGTTGTTACCAACGGAAACGAGGTAAGTTGCCCGTGACAACAACACGATTTTACGTTAAAACTTGGTGACCAAACTTTCGTCCTGCCTTACTCAACTGATAATCGTAGTAAAATAAATTAACTTTTTAATTCCCCAAGAAGTGCACTGATAACAAAATGGCCAAATTTTTTATCTTGTTCCTGAAGACTAACCTGGAAGTCCCTCCTGTACCTCTCCTTTCCACTGGCTGTAAAATGTAAAAATAATAGTTAATATGCTAATCAGTGATTCTTTGTTCACAATTAAGAAGAGTCAGTCTAGAAACAAGCAAAAAAGGATATAAGAGAGGCAAGCAATAAACTGTGGCTACAATCTAATTGCCGCTTTGTATGTGGACACTCCTAACAAGGACTGATGTCTTACAGAATCAATACATCACTTGAAAAGAGATTATATATTTAGAGCCTTTACGAACTGTCAAATTCTTGGAAAATAGCTTAAAGTTTAAATATGGGTTTGATTTTCCAGTAACAGCACAAGTAATTATCCCTGTTCAATTACTTTGTCTCTTTTCAAAATTTTTTCTCTCTTTAGACACCATGCCCATTGCAAGGGGATACTGTGCATTTTTCATATAGTATTCATCAAGGAGAAAGGCTTAGCCACTTGTGGGATTGGGGAGCCTGCTCAGAGGAAATTTGGTTTTTTTTTTACGGGATACAGAAAATACCATTTCTGTATCCCCCAACAAACAAACACATTCTTTCAAATTCAAATGCACCAATACCACAACCTGACACCTGCAATTGTAGAAAAAAGTCTGATAGCCCACTGGAAGGAAAATGCCTCCAAACTAACGTCATCTACCAAGCCACAGTCACTACCGAGACAACAACTGAAACCTACGTTGGACTAGCCACAAACTTTAAGGAACACTACAGGAACCACAAAACATCCTTTTGACACTCGCACAGAAAAAATGAGACAGAACTCTCCAAATATGTTTGAAACATACAACATGGAAAGATACCATTTCTGATTAAATGGAAAATTCTTAAGAAATGTAAACCCTACAGCAACATTAGCAAAAAATGTAGTCTTTGTCTGAATGAAAAGTTCATAATCATCTGTAAAAAAGAGCTGTGTAGCCTCAACAGAAGAACTGAATTAGCAAGTTCATGCCCCCACAGAAACTGCCATGTACTTCAGAACTTTAGAGTAATGTAACTTAAAATAACGACACATAATCCCTCTTATATCATGTTTTTGTTACCTAGCAACTCTTCGAATACTTTCAAATAGCCTGAATGTAACGCATCTAATATAGCAACCATTCAAATTTTCGTATTTAACTGCCAGCTTTCCAATTTCAACAATTCAGTTGTTAAAGTTGCCTGATAAGTGTGGTCCTTGTACCATACGAAACAGTTCTGCAGCAATAAAACGATGATCAGTCGTGAGACCTGAACCTCTGTGAAGTTATAGTTGATGCTCCTCAATCGATTGAGTTGAGCGCCCTACGAAATTCATTCTACTCAAAAAAAGAAAATACCATTTCCCACTTTTTCCAGAAAACAGTTTCACAAATCAAAAATATATCATTATGGAATTACGTTGACTATTTATTAACTTTATAATTTGTTTATATGTTGACATTTGGGATAAAACTTATTGATAGTAGATTTAATAGGAGAGAGCAGAGGCCATCAAACCATCCAATCAAATTATTAAAGAGGCTTTTCGCTTATAATATAAAATTTTTTTTTTCTGGATAATTTTTCAAAGGAACGCATCTGTGTACGTGTATATGGCCACTATGCCCCTGCATTGACTATGCATCTGAGAAGTCCTGCGAGATTGGAAACAAATTTTTGTCAGTAATAAAGACTATTTGTAAAAGTCATGAGAAACTTTTTTAAAAGTTTCTCATAAAGAAGTTTCTCACAAAAGATGATGAAATTATAATCAAAAGCACTTACAATAACTCAGCCACTTCTCCAACTTCTCCAACCTGCAAAACAGAAATATCATGTGGGTCACCTTATGTACATGTGACAACATAATTATACACAACAAATATATACAATATACTGTTAACCTCATAGCAAGCTCTCTGACTTAAAAAGTACTAGATTTTTTCAACAGCAGGTTATTTCTATTCACAATGAATTAGACTACGATTAGTCCCTCTTTCGCTTAGTCTGTCAACCGAGACGCAAAAGAAAACCGTGAGAAAAAAATGGCCGCACGAGATCCCTACAAGTCCCTCTTTCACTTAGTCTGTCCAGCGAGAAACAAAAGAAAACTGCGATAAAAAATGGCCACGCAAGATCCTCATGGTTTTCTTTTGTGTCTCCCTCTACGGACTGAGTGAAAGAAGGAGTTCTTGTCTTCTAAAATGAATTGGATGACAAAGACTTTTTGTAGTTATCTGCAACACTGTTTACTAATCAATTAATTACAGAGAAATATTGGTTACAGTTCACAGCTGACACTGTTCTAAATTGCACAGCACAGGCTAGCATGTGGGGTGCAAGACTTAACTCCACAAATGTACTTTTAAGATCACAACATATTTCACAAATATCATGCCACTGGTAGCAACAAGACTTCCTCTCAGTTCCCCAACCTGACGGGGTGCTCCCTTATATGGGCTATAGAGGTATGTGCAGCCCCAAATGGTATGGTGTTTTGAGCTGTTTTGGTCAGAAATGGGCATTAATTTTGGCCATTTTGGTCTCAAATAAGGTCTTAAAATTTTGGTCAGGTCATAAATAGACTGGGGAAAATTACAGATTTTGCTCTGAAATAAGGTAAGGGTTTTGGAAAGCAGGTCGCACACAGCCACCCAATTTTTCTGGTGGTTCTGTACCCCTGGGTTTCCCCAGCAACCTTGTGGAGCAATTTTCATGAATAATTTCCAGGATACATACAGCCTGAAAACGGTACCCAACAGTCATAAGAGAGATTCATACAGAGACCACTCTGGCACGAACAAAAGTATAAATGATCCTCCAAATGAGGTCAATCTCATTATTATAAAATCTTTGATATTGTTTTATAAGCTCAGCTCAAGTACCATTGCAAGCACAAGATTCCTGGGCTGGTGAAATTGATCCCAATCCCTCTCCTTTGCGAACTCAGACTGCATCTGCCGACTAAGATGAACAAAAAACTGGTAAATTCAAGTTAAAATCATACAGAACTCAAATAACCAAAACGAGCATTCCGAAAAAGCGAGCGGGAGCGAGCATTCTATTCGACGCGACCAGGACATTCGACGCGCGTTGCCTCCAGATATGTTAGCTTACATTTTCTCCAGGGAGGGCTCTTCGCTGAACCGAAAAGTGCTTGCTTCTTGAACATCCATGCCTTCGTCGTGATCTAAAGAGACATTAGACAACATAGTCGACATCCGATCGCGAATCGCCAGAAAGTTTTCAAAGAAGTGAAAATGTGGCGTCGAAATCCCGGCTTGGAGAGAGAAATAATAAACTTGGCGCGAAGATGACGTAAAAATCCCATCACACTTTGCAACTTGGAATTTAACCATCGTCCTTTGCAAAATAAAGACACGCAGCCGCCATCTTGCGCCGAGAAGCCGGTGAAAATATAAGCTTGGATTTCGAGAAGACTCAAGGGCAAGAATGAGTATCGGTAGAACAGTATACAACGCTTTGTTCCGTCGAACCTCCACATTCGCAGTTACTATTGTTATTGGGGCGTTTGCATTCGAGAGAGTGTTTGATGAAGGAATGGATAACTTATGGGAAAGAATGAACCGAGGGGTGAGTTGTAACTGTTTCCAATATTGTACCATACCCTACTGTCCTGATACCTTACGATATCTTGATTACTTGGCCGAATTTGGGTACGCTAAATCTAGGCTTTAATGTTTTCAGCAGAAGGGCACAACTGGTTTTCACAGACAGGTTAAACGTTTTCATTTGAACTTCTTGAAACGAAAAACTTTCCTCTAGATGCAAAATCATCCTCGTAGCCTGTCGAGTTGCACCCCCTCGCTCCTCCCCATCATGACTAGACCATGATTAGCTTGATTTTGCAACCCTATAAGACTAGGCACCAAAAACCCCTACCCTATCACAGACTAGCTATCATCAATATTGTAAGACTGAGTCTCTCTCAACCCAAATCATAAAAATCTGATTCTCTGTATTGGCTTTCTAGTACGATAACCACATGATTGTATTCGAACAAAACAAACTTTGCTAATATGCTTATTAATTTAAATATATAAAGTTTCTCTGACGTACATGAGTGTATGACTGTATGTGGTATAAAACCATAGTCTTTCAATATTTACTTCTTTGTGGATGTAGTACAGANTCTTCACTCGAGCTTGAATAATCACTCGGCTCTGCCATTTTGAATTTTTCAGCATATCCATTGATCACCTTCGGCTGCTACCACAGGCAGACCACCAGGGGAATAGTGTTTTTTGTTTACAAAAGGTATTTTATGCAAAATCATGCATAAAAGCAACTGATGCTTTAAATTAGAACTTGAATGGGCGGTTTTTCTTTACAAATTTCCTTAAAAAAGCAAGAAAGTTATTCAAAAAAGAAAAAAGTTGCACAAAATCTGAAAAGTTGCTCGAAGGACTAAAAGTTGCTCCAAATCTGAAAAGTTGCTCAAAAGTTGCCGAGCAACTTATGGACAGCCTTACCCTGATCAAAGTTCTTTCCACGACTAAAAGTGAGTGTGACCAGCACAAAAATGCTGTGTTTATTTCGTAAAATTTCATCAATATTTTGCCGGGGTTTTTTGTGAGCATTTACCAGTTTCACTGTAAAAAACAAACTCGACATAATTGTGTCACTGGCAGCTGTAGATGCTGTGTGTGAAAAGAGGCCATATATTTCTACTGCAAAAACGAATCCCTCGCCAGCAACTAGAATCTCTGTGTGAATCTTCCGCGAAACATACAAGTTTTCGAACAGAAATATAAGCTTACTTAAGGTACTGCCACAGACCATTAAAAAAAATTGATTAGCAAGTCATCAAAAAATTTGACGGAAAATAATTTTTCATTTCAAACGCAGACGTTTTCACTCGACTGAAACTATTTATCAACTACCTAAAACAATGAAATATGCACTTGCCGGCTTTACAAAATCAACATGGTGCCTGTTTCTGAACTGAAGAGGAGAAACAAAATTGTTTTTTATTCCACTTGTTTTTTAATTTTATGCGCTTCCCTTCAAAATGATTTTTTTGGAGTTTGGCAATATGCAGTTTAATATTCAAGGAGTTGCACACAACCCAGTTCCATGGATTGAAAACATTGATTTAAAGATTTTTTTAAGATACCCAGCGCATAATTCAGGAAACAGCAAATGAAAGTGATCAAAACTAAGAAGATTACAAGCTAGTCAGACAGGTTATTACATTTGAACACGCCAGTGAATAACTTCCACTTTTGGGTCCTGAATTATTAATGAGTTTGAAAACATGGGCAAGTTGGGAAGTGCCCCGGGCAAGCAATATTTGAGAGTTACTTGCCCAAAAGGCAAGCTGGAATTCAAATATTTTTCAAGCCCTGCCTGCTCCCACTCTCCCAATTATCCCAATTATCTTTAAAAAAAAGTCTGAAAAGTGGGGAAAATAATTGCTAATCTTAATCATTTTTAAATTGGTGAAGCCAAAAATGCAGGAAATCGCACTGAAAAGAAATCTAAATGCGCAAAATTTTCTATGAAGCATCCCCCCTTAACCCCCTAGAAGCCCATGTCTTGTTACTCCCTGTTACCAAGGGGGTAATTGCATTAGGGCTTCACTGTGTTTTCCCAGCATAGTGTAGAACATGATCAAAATACAAATATGTTATTTACAATGGTAATTGGTTAGCTATAGTAGGATAATTAAGTCAATATCTAGAGGAAAATATCCTGAAGTTGAAGATTTTCTTTACTCTGCAAGATTGATTGATGAGTACATGTAGTGATCTGGTCTATGGTGGCCTGGGGCTGCCATAACAAAAAACCCATTGTCTTAACAAGTTTCTTGTAAATTTATGTTTTATTTGCTTTTTCAATATTGTATTTTTTTTGTTTCTTTTAATGTTATTTTGTTTTAATTGCAAAAATATTTTAATTTAAAATCAAAAGTAAATAAATCAAGAAATGAATTTAAATCGGAAGATATCTCAAGAAACAAAATAAAAACAAATGATTTTAAAAATGAAAGTAATTTCGAACATAACCAAAATTTGCTGCAAAACAAATATAAAAAACTAATAAAAACATACTTTGAAAAAAAGGCGTTTTAAACTAAATAAAAAATTGTCTATGGCCTATCGCTGTCGTAGCGGAAAAAAAAACCATGCGTGGCCTATCGTTGCCATAGACCAGAATGCATTTTGGTGCATTTACCAAGGTCAACAGCAAAAATGGCTGCCAGAGGTCTAAAATGAAAGATCTGCGCCAAGGGAGAGATGGGAAGAAAGATTCTGGCAAGTCAGCAAAAAACCTTGAAACCATAGTGTTCCAGCACCTTAGTGCAGTGGTTTCTGGCAAAGCTCAGAAGTACTCCCGAGTTGGAGCACGCGAGTTTGTGTCTTTCGAAAATTTCGACAAACTCTCCAGTGATAACAATGGAGGTGACAGGCTTACACAACTCCTGTGTCTACATGCAATAGTCGCTTTTAAAGTTTTGCTCAAACGATTATATCTTTCAACGATCTGCCCCTTTTGAATAGTACGATAGGGGGATCTTTGAATATTTCGCTAATGGTTGATTTTGGATTAAATGCCAGTGTTACATATGTAAATGAGGATAACAGGCCCTTCATGGGCGGACTCCTATGCCTCCTAGCATTTGTGTATTTGCCGTTATTTTGTAAATTTCGGTCTCACGACCTTTCTTTGCTTCACATTCATTTCTTAGGGGTACTTTATGGCGTTATTAGGAGAACATTTTTTACCAGAGTAGAGCCGATAGAGGTCATAGGTCTGTGTGGTTTCTGCTGTTTTCTGCATGTAATTTGTAGAGTTTGACACCTCTGTATCTTGCCACACACTAGTTTTCTATGACTCATTTCTATTGCAAGATATGTTTTAAGCTCTCTAAATATTAGCTCTGGAGGGACAAAGTTTGGAATAATCTGTGAATGTGTTGTTTGCATTTTGTGATGTTACGCCAGGCCCTGCTGTTTGATTAACTGTTGCAAGTTATGCTACTTATCACGGGTGTCATATTTATCTTTGTCCGACTTCGCCAGAGATAGCTGTAGCTTTCCTTGTGGAAAGCTATAAGCGTTTGTTAGAGAGACGTGCTTATGTTTCTTGCATCAATTTCATCAAGCTTTTTGACCCTTGTGCTTGATGTTTAGGTTTATCCCTCCAGTTTGTTCGTTCTGGCACTGCAAATGTAGATGTTCATGCGCAAGTCTGTCGACTGTTTTGCGTGTTGTATGATATTGTGGGGTTTTGTTCAGGAAAAGTGCTGTCGTCAACTCTTGAAATTAGAAGTTTTTCCTCTGACTGTTCATCCAGCTCCATGTTGTGGTCTTCATTGCTTTTATTTGCGATGTTTTCAGATTTTCTTGAGAATGCTTATAGTCCCTATTTGGTTAGGAGGCTCTTAGCCTTGTTGTTCAGGTCATAATGCGGTTTCGATCCTTCTGGATCTCATCAGTCGCTGATCGCACACAGAGAATTAGAGAGTCTAATGCTCAGTAACACTCCGCAAATGGTGCAGATATACTTGTTTGAGCAAAACTTTAAAAGCGACTATTGCATGTAGATACAGGAGTTGTGTAAGCCTGTCACCCCCATTGTTATCACTGGAGAGTTTGTCGAAATTTTCAAAAGACACGAACTCACGTGCTCCAACTCGGAAGTACTTCTGAGCTTTGCCAGAAACCACTGCACTAAGGTGCTGGACAACTATGGTTTCAAGGTTTTTTGCTGACTTGCCAGAATCCTTCTTCCCATTTCTCCCTTGGCGCAGATCTTTCATTTTAGACCTCTGGCAGCCATGTTTGCCGTTGACCTTGGTAAATGCACCAAAATGCATTCTGGTCTATGGCAACGATAGGTCGCGCATGTTTTTTTTTTTATTCTCGCTATGGCAGCGACAGGCCATAGACAATTTTGTTTTTAATTTAGTTTAATATGCCTTTTTTTTTCAAACTAATTTTTTTATATTTTTTTAAAATTTATTTCACAGCAAATTTTTGTTACGTGCGAAATTACTTTCATTTTTAAAATCATGTGTTTTTATTTTGTTTCTTGAGATGTTTTATTCGATTTAAATTCATTTCTTGATTTATTTACTTATGATTTTAAATGAAAATATTTTTGTGATTAAAAAACAAAACAAAATGACATTAACAGAAACAAAAAATACAATTGAAAAAGCAAATAAAACATAAATTTACAAGAAACTTGTTAAGGCAATGGGTTTTTTGGTTATGGCAGTCCCAGACCACCATACTGGTCTTGATCTGGTTGTTGTATAAGTATCGTAACTTTTTTTGCCCTCTCTGCCACCAGAAATTGTGGAAACACATAAAGCACAGATATGTCAAGGATGCAGAAGATGCTGATGAATAACACTGAGAAGGAACATGCTTTAGTTAAAGAATTTTGCTTGGTCTTGTAAACTTTTCAAGAATAATGTCTGGGAGTTTTGTGAATACTTGAGGATGCATCTAACTTTTTATTGTAAATCTAAACAAGCTTATACTCTATGTTCTCTCTTGTGATGGTTGGATTGAACTGTGCATGGACTCAATGTTGTAAAAAGATGATAAACTTTTTGTTACCTTCACTAAGAAAATAAAATAATTAAAGATTATAATTGTTTTCTTTCCCTGTGTATAGTTTCTATAATAATAACAACTATTGTTTTTGTTGTTTTTTGTTATTGTTTTTGTGCAACATTTGAAAGACTAGTGCAGGGCTCGACTTTCAAGAAAACATAGGCACGCAAGGCGTGCAAGAGTTATTTTTTTTGTGTCTCGTAGATAGGAGCATTCATGGAACTGTTTACAGTAATGATTGGTTAATTTGACAAGTTTTTTCGGTTGCGATGTACAGCANATCTGACATGTGTCCAGATTAATGTAGATACCATCTTATTTTCTAACAGGCAATTTGATTCATTCTTTGATACAACCCACACTGATTTGTGTGACACGCGCACATGCATAACTCACTCACCGATCACATAGCCCTTCCAACCCCCAAGAGTAATTTTTGTTCAAAAATACTCACGTTAAGAGAACTTTTCGCATTTTATACAAGTCGTAAGTTTACCCTTTTTACACAACACAACAACACTACTTCACCGAAAATTGAAAGAAAGAGAAAAAAACCTCTCTGACAAGTTGAAAGTCTGATTTAATTAAATTGCACTTTAACTTGGTGGCACTCAGTCTTCAAAGAACATTTGAACAGTTTTCATAATTTTACCTTTAAAAGAATGTCATAAAATGCCCATCAAATAAAAATATTAAACTGCTACTGCAGAGATGTAAAAACTGTCCAGAAATGAAAGCTTCTTTTTCGTTTAATCTCCTGGGAACAATAGCTGATACCTTGTCAACTCTAATTGAATTTACTCCCATATAAAAATCAAGTGTCCAGTTACCATTTGTAACTAAAGATAGCAAACATCTTGTGGGAACAAGTGGTGATGATTCATCAGCTCTAATTGAATTTACTCCCTCGTCAAAAACAAGAGTGTCAAATTACCCTTTGTTACTAAAAAATAAAAATATCTCGTTATATTCGCATGCAACAAGAACAAAACGATCGTTACCTGCACTTACTATTGTAAACATTAGAACTGTTTCAAATCTAAATAGTCTCATTTCCTCTAAAACATGTCCTAAGAACTAGAAGCGACTATTCATGACCTCTAATTAAATTTACTCCTTGTGAAAAACAAAAGTATCAAGTTACCTTTGTAACTAAAAATGAAAATGTCCCATTCCATTTGCATACTACTAGCTCACGAACTGTTTCAAAACTCAAGACTGATCTTGTTCATAACTAAACTCCTCAGCCTAACCCACAGAAAATGTCGAAGTAAGCCCAATATATGAATACTTCCTCCTCTATTATAGAAGAATAAATATGGCCGTTATAAACTGTATCAAAAAACTGAGCAACGACGTTTCGGTGTCATCCTGGCACCATTTTCAAGTTAAAAAATATTTGTGCGAAAAGTAAACTAATTTATACCAATGGTAGAGGTGCGAAATTGAATAAATTAAGATTAAG